CACACACACACACACATTGAAACTCTGGTGTTTTTGTCCCAGGTGTTGTGCAAGTACATGTATATGCTTGCGTGCGCAACCATGGTTTCGCCTTTGTGGGCAGAAGCCCGACATAAGCCCTTCTATCAAGCCCCGACATTTCTCGCAGCCTTTGTTACCTTTGTTCTTTCTTGTCGGGGAATGTAAAGCCGAGGTGGAACGGCATGGCCTCGCACTCAGCTCTTAGCGAGAAGACGGGGGCCGGCCAGGGTTCGGCTCCGGGCCTGTGGCCACTAAGGTGCTTTCTATATTATGCTATATATATTATACTATACTATACTATACTATACTATACTAAATAAAGCTATATCATTATATTATGCTATACTATACTATATTATACCGTATTATACTATATTATGCCATATTATACTAGATTATACTATATTATACTATATTATACTATATTATACTAAACTTTCTATCTACGATTTAGGGTTCCGGGCCAGGGCCTGTGATTTCCTGGGAAGATGGAAGATGACTCCCCGGTGTATCCAAAGTTTGCTGACGCCTTGGATCCTGACGTAAGTACACTACATGCCCGGCAACAAAGTTTCGTCGCATCCGCTAGAGACGCTAAACGGAGTACGCGGAGCACAGGGACAAGGAATACGCTAGCCTGGCTAGCAGAGGAATGATCATCCCGTGATGAAAGTATAAGACTATAAGTGTTCCGGGCGGAACCCTTGCGGAGGCGTCTAGGGGGGAAATTGGTCTTGGACAGGTTTGTTGTACGTGACCAACATAGAGTGCGATGAACTTTCGGACCGGCGCAGTAGTAGAACAGCATTTTGTCTACTAATCACTAGCAGCAGAATAAACAAGCACTGCAAGACGAAGCTTGTGCACTTCGGTTGCTTCGTGGCTGCAGGCGACAAGGACAAGGACGGCAAACAGAAATCTCTCGCCGAGTGCCGGCGCCCAGTCGTTGGCCTCCGGACACCCGAAGGGCCCTTCAAATACCATAGAATATGATAGTAAATATGGTCTACTAAAGTATATTACGGAGTAGTATACTATAGTATACTGAGGTACAATACAGTATATTATAGCAGAATATATAGTATAATATAATATAATATAGTACAATCTAGTACAATCTATTATAATCTAGTATAATTTAGTATGATATAGTATAATATAGTATACTATAGTAAAATATAATATAATATAATATAATATAATATAATATAATATAATATAATATAATATAATGTCATATAATATAATATAATATAATATAATA